TTTGAAAATTTCAACCAAACAGTATCAAAGAAAGTTCGATTGATTAATTTGTAAATAACTATGACAGAATCATACAAATTTAACATCATACAATTTATGAATAAATTTCCTTTTAGAAAATTGGCTTTACAAACTTAAGATAATGAAATTAGAGAATGTACATCTTTAACACGAAATATTTAATAATATAAAGATTATGCCTCGTACTGAAAGTTGATAATTTTAAGCTTTATTGCAAGAAAAATGTGACTCTTATTTGTGCGAAAAACCATGTTAGTTTAAAGAGTGCGTTGAGCTGTATGTAAATAAGCAGTTTTCATAGCAATTCTTTGGTGTTTGCCAAAAGGAAGATGGATCATGATTATCAATGAAGACTGCGAAAACTGGAGAAATTTCAATCAGTCTACAAAAACATGACAATCAAAAATTTGTTATGTCGCTTGCAAATTTCCCGTTGTAATATATGAACTATACGTTTAAAGATAGAATTCAGCTTTAATACTAACATACACACATGGTATATGAGAGGGTTTAATGCTTATTACAATCGTGCCCCCAATTTGACTGCGTGACGTCCAGGAGTAAAGAAAAAGAATTTTAAAGATTGCACCAACTTTAATCGTTTTAGCTCCACCCTCATGCCTCAGGAGGCAGGAGAGGTAGGGACCTCAAAATTCACAAGTTTTGTTCCCCTCAGTCCATAGATACTATATGCCAAAATTGGTTGAAATTGGTTTAATGGTTCTAGAGAAGAAGTTCAAAATGTTCAAAAGTTAACACACGACAGTCGACGAACGATGCCAGACAAAAACGGATAGCAATACGAGGGCTGTTCAATAAATAATGTCTTCGATGCTCGGAAAGAAACAAAAACGCTTTTCAGTGATTTCGTCTTTATGATTTCACTTAAAAAAACACAGGTCGGTAACATGTTTATCCAATTTTTGATTAATTTTAGAACACATTTTTGAGTATGTCCCTTCGTATACTCGAATATGGCTGATCATATGATTTCCTGGACTTATTTCTTCTTTTTCAAAGGTCTTTTTTAAGTTTGGAAAATAAAATAAGTCAAGGAATGAAGGATCTGGCGAATATTGTTGAAGTGACAAAATATTAACCATCTTTTTATCACCGAATCTCCTTTACTCCTCATGGCGTGTGGGTTTGGACGCTGTCATGAGGAAATTTAATGTAGTGGATTCCCTCTGGTTCCCTCCTCTCAGAAACCTTTCGATTTTTTGCAAGAATTTTTATTTCTAAACCTTTCCAGAAATGAACCTGCCTCCCCGAAAAAGAATATGAACAAGACCACTAATATCTAAAGAAAATGTTATAGAAAAACAGTTTTTGTGCTTTAGCAATTCTTTGCCCTTCTCAGACCTTGGCTGTTTTTGCCAAGTGCATCTTACTATTCTTGTAAATTTGTTTTGAATTCATGTTTCATTTTCTGTTTGAACTTCAGACATAGGTGATTAACTACAATTTTTGATTTTTGAAATTATTATTTAGATATTCTCATACGCTGTCGTTTTAACTCATTTTTCAAAACATAGAGTGACCATTGAGTACAAAGCAATTTTAATGTCAAATGTTTCTTTCAAACTGTAAATTACCCCCAAACTGAACCCTATCAATTTTGCTATGTGTTGTGAAGTAAATCAAATATCATCAGTGATAACAGTAAATTTGTTGTTGTAAGTCATTGTCGCCATGGACGGTACTCATTTTTGATGTCCGTTATATCTTTTTTGTTCAGTTTTACATCAGCGTTAATGAAGCGTTTACTTTCACTCTAGTTTGATGATTCTTGACCATTTATTTTTAATGCAGTTCCTCGAATAACCCTTGTTTTCCAGCTGAAACTGTGTGATTCAAAGATACCACATGATCTGTAATCAATTCATTAAAAAATCCATTATGAGAGAAAGCCAAGCTTTATGTCATATAATTTTTATGTTGTATGTCACAGAGCTCAGGACATAATTTATTGAACAGCCCTCGTGGGTCACCTGAGGGATTCAGGAGACCTAAAAATTGAAACTGAAGAAAAAACATTCAAAACAACTTCTCGATTCCATTGTTATGACTGCATTAACCTTGATTTGATTTGATTTTAATTGACCTGCTAAATATTAAAATTCATCAAGTGATGTCTATTTGCAACTGTACTCGTGAAAGCCGTTACATTGTATTCTTCAACCTGACCTTGATTTAAAGAGACACTGTGACGCACAAAGGGGAAAATTGACAAATGTACAATTTTTGCATGTCCCGTGTAAATTTAGTTCAATTCCTAAAAGTATTAGGTTTCAGAAAATTACAGGTTTCAGAACCTAAAAATTCTATTTTTATAGAGAAAAATAAAAGTAAAAATAATTTCAGTATGCCCCAAAACGAAAATATTGCAAAATACCCTGGCACTTCTTCCTCCCTATTGTGCCCGTGCGCCGAAAAGTTGAGTAAGTTTCCACTTTTACCATGGTTTCAAGTATCCACGAATGAAACCAAAAATTTGGTGTAATCTTTTAAAACGTTGTTAGAACATATTTCTCACCTTAGCTTGCTCCAGTTGAGTGTTGTTTACAAGTCTGAGCTAAAAAATAAAAGTGATGTGACCTTGACGTACACGAAACAACGAAACGATATATACAATCTTTGTTTTTCCAGCACTTATATTATGCAGTTTTTCTTGCTGTTTGATTGTCATATTTTAACTATTTACTCATAATTTTGATAAGTCTTTCTCTGTATGCTACAGATATCTTAAAAGAAAGACATAATTTATGTTGTAGACCTAAGGGCAGATCACACTAACTGCAGAAAAACACCATCGAATCAGAACTCTTTAGTGTACACTGTAGAGAGGGTTCTTATATTTTGTATGTCCTCATATGTAAAAAAAAACGATATTGACATCGCTATAATATATCAAACATGTATTCAAATTTTGAGAGAGATGTCAACAATGACACCTAAAGATAGCCCCGCCTCCTATTACACGAAGCACCTTGAAGTGGTAAAATTTTTCATTTGAATGGAACGTTTTGGGCTATCTTTAGAACGTTGATTGCCATATGATGACACATCCATTTCTTTAGAAAGGAAAAAGGAAAGGAAAATGTTTCATTAGAATACCTGTAAAACAGGTATTCCATAAATTTAATATCCAAATCAAATTGACGGTCTAAATAAACAAAGAGCTAGTTCGTGTTTGACTGATAAATGTGGTAACTCCAATAAATATGATGAATTCATAATCATGTTCAAATTCGTTGCAATACGCGTTTAACAGAAGCTGGAACTTTCTAAATCCCTCTGGGCGACTTCGATTCGTACCCGAGTACGTACTCGAGTTACTTGAGTTTCAATCGAACGACCATAGTTCCTACTCAAATTACGTCCTATGACCTTATGAACTCTACCCAAGCTAACCCAGCCATACAGTAGGATTACTAGAGTTTCGATATGGCGGCGTCAAAAGAAAAACCCGAACTGTAGGAATTATTTTTTTCAAAATATGATGTTTACCATCGCTAATCCTTAAAAGCAAACTTCGAAACGCACTTCCTACATGAAAGCTTTACAATGTATATGAATATATGTTTATTTGATTAGATTTTTCAGGCTTACTGCCCGATAACAGCAGACATAAATTCAAATTCGAACCAAAAAAAATCAGAGCTGGAGAAAAAATTCAACTGCAGCAAAAGCTATAGAAAAAAATAACACAACAGATGATGTCAAAATGGACCTATTTGGCCACCTTTTAAATCTTACAGAGGAAAAAAGTAATTAGAAAATAGTATAAATAAAAACGAACAAGTGCGTATTGTTTATAAATTAACAGATTTACTTTTTTCTTTACGAAATATTAAAAAAATCAAAAGTTTACATTGTAGCTGCAAAAAGTTAAGATTCTCATTCATTTTTTCTTTTCCAAAGTACATTTTTTAAATGGGTACATGGCGTATGCATTATTTGCAGTTCATTAATGAAATGTTTAAAAAATAATAAGATGAAAATAAATCTACTTCAAATGAAACAAAATATTCGAGTTATGTTTCTTTTCAAATACAGTGTACTTAAACGTTTTTAAGCATGTGCATTAAATAATTATTAAAATATTCAAAATCTAAACTTTATTCTTAGTTTATGGTCTTAGAGCCTGAATTCCTAAGAATAAAAAAAATGCGCAAAATTGTCACTTTATTGATAAAATTATCGCACAGAGAAAACATGAACGCCATTATTTTCGCTACCCTTCAAACTCACATGAGTTCGCTTGAAAACCACATGTTTGTGTAAACAACCGGTCATGTGACGTCAACCATGCAAGAGTTAATACTCGGGTACGAATCGAAGTCGCCCTCTGTTATAACATTTCGGTGTAACTCATGTTGCTTGTCGCGAGAGTGGGGTGTCCTAAAACATTACGACAAATATTTCTTTTTCGTTTCTAAAGAAAACATGACTTAGAACGTTTCATCCAAACGGAAAATTTTCATCTTCAATGCGCTTCAGTGTAATATTGATTACACCGGGCACATGACAAATTCCGGAAACGACACTATTGTGTCGTTGCTTCATTCGAGTTTTTAGAGAGAGAGAGAGATGTTAACAATGACGCCAATCGATAGCCCCGCCTCCTAACTAACATATCGTTGCTTTAATTTTGATTCATGGCAAAAGGGCATTGCAATTGTATAAATGCTCTACCTAATATAACCATGTATACGTTACTCTTTCTATTGATAGTAATGTATTTTGGATTTACTTCTTTTCTGTGTATTTTTTTCTGTTAATTAGAATATTTATGTAAAGAAATTGTAGGAAAAGAAAAAAATATGAATTTCAAACCAGGATATGAATATATGTATAGTATCAATTATGGATAATCGAATGTTAAGGAACTTGCAAAGTTCATTTTCAGTGCAAAGAAAATTATTTAAGTAAATGTGTAATATTTCGATTAGATTTGTTTGTATGAACAGGGAAGGAGTATGTCTTACAACATCAGAGTTATTTCACTGAATTTACAGGATTAAGAAATTTAAGCAACACCACCATTTTGGAAATTAATTTAAACGTAAGTACAAGTTTTCCAATTATTTTATTGTCGATGTAGCTTTTCGAAAGTTAACTAGCACAACAAACACCTTGATTCACATATATCAATTTTACTTTTTTCTTTTTAAACAGTTATCTTATTTTAGGAAGGTTCGAATTCTCTAGCACAGTGCTCGCATGGCTTCGGAGAGTACAATAAACCTCGCTGAATCTGAGTTTAGAAAGGACGTTGTAACAGATGAGATGAAAGTAGAAAAAAATCCAAGGACATTACAGGTATATGTACATGTATTCGATTTCATTTATTTCAATTACAACCTCCAAAAGTCGATAATTTACAGACATGTTGATACTCAGTATGAGTATTTTACTCACGTGACTATTTTTAAATCCATCATCTATTCCGGTAATTAGAGAAAATCGTGTCTTCTCTTTCATTGAAGTCCACATCCTCTTAAATAAGGTTGCACAACAGTATTAAATTCTGCTATATATTATTTTTAAAAATGCACAAGTTTGGGTTGAAAAATTGGCTTAAAAATTTTCATCCCTGATAAGACCAAATTTTCTACCCTTAAATGTCCATCAAGTACATAATACTCTTATACTAAATTAAAGCATTTCATAGTAGAAAAAAATTGCCATCGAGAAAGTTAAAAAAAAACATGAACTAAGCAGTAATTGATTAACAAATATTGCTTTGAAGTCTATCAGAAAAAGCGTTTTTATTTATGTAAAAATTTTAATATTAAATACTGTGGTTGAAAGATGCATTGAAACATTAGAAATAGAATGACATTTTTTTTAACAGATAAGTATTTAAAATTGATTTTTTTATCGATTAAAAACAGAAAAAGATACTTCTTACCAAAATTCAAAGTCATAAAGTAGGACACATCCCACCCTTACAAGCAATAGACCAGCAATTATGCTTAATTATACCGAATAATCAACAACTACACTTCTGTTATTTATTCAATTTCATTGAATCTGTTTCTATTAGGGATTGAGTACCTTAATTTCAAGCAAAGATTTGAGAGAATTTCTTTTCAGATCTTGTAAAATAATCATAATAAAGATTTTAGAACCAAAAAAAAATACATAGCCATCCAGCAACACACAGAAGTTTGTTTTGTGTGTTTGAAATAATCACTAATAAAGATTTTTAAAATGAACCTGGTCAAAAAGTAATTTAATAGAGATTTTCATATAATAAAAAATAGCCATCCAGCAAGAATTATTATGCATCAGTCATGTTTGACATCAATTGTTTGTTATATACACTTTCGAATTCCATTTAGTTGATGTGTGTAATATATGTAATAGTTTTTGTAAATTACTAAAGTTATAAATGGACAGGTAGGCAAATTATATATAGGTACAGGACATTTGACCTTATATGTGATTGTACTAAATCCCCACTCAATAAAATGCATAAGTATATGTAGCACATAAGTTGTCTAAAGTAACAGCATCCGTGGTTCATGGCCTTCAAAATGAACCTCCACCTGGTCAATACTGGTAATTTAAGAGTCCCGCATTCACTGAGAACGTTTTCATTCGGATAATAATAAAATATTAAATCATGTGCCCATGGTTATTTTGGTATATTTGTAGGTATCCCTTTTACAAAAAATTGCGGCCTTTTTATCTCCAATTATGTTGATTGTAATAAATGTGTGTTTTTTGCTCAAAAAATGTTAATAATAAAGTGATAGAACTTAATACAGGTGTTATCATTACAGGTGTTTACATGATAGGATTTCTGATCGAGGAACTCTTATGTCTTCTATGCATTGTGGATCATCACTTGCAAGTGCATTGTATACAAAAGGGTAGTACAATTGAATTACTGTAAATATACATAATTTAAAAAATACGGCTCCAATCTCGTGAAAAATGCTCGAATCTGGAGGAGGATTTCCGGGAATTATTATGCATCTGTTGGTGTGTATATATATGCTAAATATATGCTAAGAACAAAATAATAGTAACATCTTTGTAAATTACTAAAGTTATAAATGGACAGGTAGGCAAATTATATATAGGTACTTATGACATTTGACCTCTTATATGTGATTGTAGGTAGAAATCACTAAATAAAAGGTCACTTTTACGTTGGGAACAGGAATCTTTTCTCAGATATGTATACATAAGAGGTGCATTTACCAGCTTCTAGTTTTGATATGATATGAAAATTCTACCGTTGTAAGTAGATCTATGTGATAATTACTTGTAATAAGAATACAATTCATTTCTTTGCAGACTTTCGACATGGAGGATCTACGGCCGAGGATAAATAAAGTATCAAAGTTTTCCAAAAATATCTTCTCCCAAGGTTTGATCAACATTTCATTGTTGTCAGCCAACGCCACACGGTTGCACAGAGCACAATCTTACAACAATTACGATCATCAAACAGCACTAATTAGTTTAATATCAACTTCAGTCGTCTTACAAATTTTCATACTGTTCCTGTTGAGCATATTAGCCATGATTCGAATCATATGCCATAAACAAGAAATTTCTTGTTCAAGGAAGTACTTAGTCAAAGCCAGAATCAAATCAGCCATTTTGTTCTTGGTTTCCATACTGACGGCTGTCAATATCTTTATTTCAGCGTACCAGAACATGTGACAAGAAACCATTGTTCCCAAACATTACAAGCTTGATGCTTCTAAGTGGGAGGATTTTTTCTGCATTGAATATGCACATGTTTAAAGTATTAAGGCTTAGATGTGATATTAGTGTTAAGGCTTCATAACATTTATTTTTCAAAAATTAATACTATATATACTTTTAACAGATTTTTCTCCTATCGATTGATTAAATATCGTGTGCAAGATTAGGACTGGATATTTCGTAAGATTTTGTAATTAACAGTGTAATTTCAAAAATGTAAGCAGTTAATTATATATAGAAATAAATAGAAAGAGGCATTCAGGTGCATAACTAATAATTATTTCTCTTTTTTAGTTCAAAATTGGCCAAAAATATAGATCAATCAATGCATATTTTTTGTGCCTGTTATATATCTGTCATGTTGTATATTTTGGATGTACCGTTGGAAGTAAATACAATATTTACATTGTGATCGTGTTGTACTGTAATTTATGTATATGAATTTACACCTATCGATACATCGATACATTGACCTTCTCAGATAATACAATTTATCATTGAGTCAAATGCTGACTGACGTTTTTCATACCAATTATTAGTCCATTATTATACCCCCCCCCGGCTTGAAAAGCGGGAGGGTATATAGTAATCGGTATGTCCGTCCGTCTGAACGTCCGTCTGTCCGTCCGTCCGTCTGTCTGTCTGTCACGCTTCGGGGTACCCATCTCTTATCCGCAGCTCCTCTTATACCACTGAGTGAAATTTAATGAAACTTTCACAGAATCTTTATAACATATTGCCATTGTGCGTCTCCTATTTAACTTTTTGATCCGACACATATTTTGGGTTTCCCGGCCACAGCAAAACATGGACTTTCCATTATAACCATATGAGGGGGGGGGGTATCATTTAGTGAGCTCATTGCTCACAATACCTCTAGTTTATACACGAATTGACGACGGATTTTTGCGTTATTTTCCGACCATGACATGGAGCACACGGCGGGTGTGACCTTTCGAAAGGGATGCTCACTCATCCATGGCACCTGATCAACCTCTGATGTTTTGGAGGTCCATGTTTGCTCTGCTCCTATTTTGTATTGTTTAATGGACTTTTGATCTTGAATACTGTTCGTTATTTCCATATGTTTCATCCACTGAATATTTTTTTTCTTTATTTCTTATAAAGACCATTGCCATTTATCAGTAAATAACCGACACTAAGGAGGCCACGTACACAGATTTCTTGAACAATGGTTGTTCCATCAGTTATGTATACAATGAAATATTCATCTATAAAACAATATGTATCATATTTAATTTTACTTTGAATGTTTTTTTCATACAGAGGAAAATATAAACAATGGTTTTCTTTGTTTGTTAGTACGGAAATTAACCTCACAGATATTGCAGGAAAAAAATTACTTGATCCGCTTACGTATTCCTTGTCACAAGACCTTGCTTTGTGTACCAACACTTTTGACCTTTTGAGTTTGACATGCATTTGAGAAAATTCAACCCTCGCCATAAGCTGTCATTCGGGGGTATCAGTATTTGTTATAATAATGTAAAGATGGCGTACTCCTTTAATCGACATTTCAAACAATATAATTTTTATCGAGAGATATATATTAATGTTCCCAATATGCTAGTGTAAAATTTTCGTATTATTGAATCTTTAATGAATTTATAACAAATTATGTGACTACTTTTCATCACATAATTTCATTGTGAGAAGCTGGAAAACAAGTGCTATTCGAGACACTGCATTAAAAATGAATGGTAAAGAATCAGCAAACGGTCTTGTACGTGTTCCGCTTACGTAAAACTCGATAAGAACCCCAAAGAAATATGTTAAATTTACGGCAACCAATGTCTGTTTTATAGACAAATGAGCAGGTGGATTTCAATGATCTGAGAAGAGCAAAGAATTGGAAGAACACAAAGACAGACTAATATGCAATTTTCGTAAATATTAGCGGTCTTGTTGTTCAGATTCGTATTCTGAGAGGCAGTTTAATTTCTGGAAGAGTCTAGAAAACGAATTTTTTCAAAAAAATTGAAAGGTTAATGAGAGGAAGGAACAAGAATCAGAAATCCACTACATTACATTTCTTCATGACAGCGTTCAAACCCGCAAGCCCTGAAGAGTAAAGGAGTTTTTGGGATAAACAGAAAGTTAATTTTTTTTCACATTAACAATATTCGCCAGATCTTTCGCCTTTTGACTTGTTTCATTTTCCAAACCTGAAAAAAACACCTTTCAGAAGGAAGAAACGAGTCCAGGAAATCATAAGATCTGCCATTTTCCAGTATACTAAGGGTCATACCCAAAAATGAGTTCTAAAAACAATCAGAAATTGGATAAAAAATTTACGGACATGTGTTTTAATTAAAAGAGAATATTAAATTAAATCATTAAGACTAAATCATTGAAAGGCGTCTTTTGCTTCTTTCCGAGCACCGAGGACATTATTTATTGAACAGCCCTCGTAGAGAATATGAGTCTAGTAGTATTTGCCCCTTCGAACTTTATAATTAAAATTTCTATTAGTCATCTAATTGTTTTATAAATACCCTGGTAAGGTATCTACAATTGACAAAATGTTGTTCATTTGTTTTCCTTTCTAGAACCTTAAAATTAAAACCGGATAATGAACTCCTGTTATTGACAAAAATAGACAATGTCCTTAAATATAATTTATCTCATTCTCCACACACGCATACACAAACCCACACAGAGAGAGAGCACGAAGGGACTCAATTTCATAAGGATACGCACTTCCGCCCCAACCCAGGGGTGAACTCTCGACTCACGGAATCGCTCATCTAGCAGTACAGGAACCGCGTGAGAACAATCTAACAACATTTTGTCAACTGAAGACACCTTGTATATACGAGGGCTGATCAAAAAGTTCACGAACTAAATGAATTACTTCAATAAAACAATTCAAATTAGGTTTGAGTGTTCATTATTTTCTGAATCAGTTCTCTATGAATTTAAGGAGGCTGGGGGTCAACAAATTGATGATATGACCCTTGACTTCATGGATTTCAATTATTTTTGGAAAGATGCGAAAGTTTTGTCATTAAATTGAACTTTTAAGGTATAGTGGATTGCCTCCACGTTTTTGTAAACTAAAAACATATGTTTTATTTGCAAACTTTTAGGATTGTCTTTCAAAAAATGGAGAAGACCCATTAAAATCAAAAAATGTTATCAAAGCATGGGAACATGATCTTTTTTGTCCTCTTCAGTGTGTACATGTTATTTCATAGGCAAATTATATCATTCTTTGTGAGATTTTTGTAAATTATAGAGATTTTGTATGAAGTGCACCTTATTGTTAGATGTTATCATATTTGATTTTACTTTGAATGTTTTTTTCATACAGAGGTAAATATAAACAATAAAATGTGTTTCTTTGTTTGTTAGTTCGGCAATTGACCTCACAGATATTGCAGGGGAAAAAAAATTACATGATCCGTTTACGTATTCCTTGTGACAAGACCTTCCCTTGAGCACCAACACTTTTCACCTTATAACCTTTGGAGTTTGACATGCATTTGAGAAAATTCAACCCTCGTCATAAGCTGCCATTCGGGGGCATCGGTATTTGTTATAATAATGTAAAGATGGCGTACTCCTTTAATCGACATTTCAATCATTATAATTTTTAACAAGAGATAAGTCTAAAATTGAAAAAAGAAGTTAACACTAAAAGGAAATTTGAATAAATTGTGTGATGCATTAAATGCTTGTACTTGTAAAGAATATGAGTGTTGAAGAACTTAACGGTATTTGCCCTTTCAAATTTAATAATTAAAAAAATTCTATTGGTCATCTATTTGTTTTACAAAAACTCGCATAAAAAAGGTATCTACAATTAACGGTTGTTTACTTGCTTTCCTTTGTAGAACTTCAAAATTAAAACCGGATAATAAACTCGTTCTGTTATTGACAAAAATAGACAAAGTTCTTAATTATAATTTATTTTATTCTCCACAAACGCATACACACACCCACAAAGAGAGAGAGAGAGAGAGAGAGAGAGAGAGAGAGAGCACGAAGGGACTCAATTTTATAAGGATACGCACTTCCGCCCCAACCCAGGGGTGAACTCTCGACTCACGGAATCGCTCATCTAGCAGTACAGGAACCGCGTGAGAACAATCTAACAACATTTTGTCAACTGAAGACACCTTATATATTTGAGGGGTGATCAAAAAGTTCACGAACTAAATGAATTGCTTCAATAAAACAATTTAAATTAGGTTTCAGTGTTCATTATTTTCTGAATCAGTTCTCTATGAATTTAAGGAGGCTGGGGGTCAATAAATTGTTGATATGACTCTTGACTTCATGGATTTCAATCATTTTTTGAAAGATGCGAAAGTTTTGTCATAAAAGTGAACTTTGAAGGTATAGTGGATTGCCTCCACGTTTTTGTAAACTAAAAACATATTTATGATTGCAAACTTTTAGGATTATCTTTCAAAAAAATGGAGCAAAGACCAATGAATATCAAATAATGTTATTAAAGTAATGGGAAAATGATCTTTTTTGTCCCCTTAAGTGTGTGCATGTTATTTCATAGGCAAATAATATCATTCTTTGTGAGATTTTTGTAAACTGTAGAGATTCTGTATAAGGTGTACCTTAGATGTTATATCAAAGAAAATTTTGATATAATCGAGATTTCATTTTTCACTTCATTTCTATAGGCATTTCGCCCGCCTTGTTCACCCATCTTTAGACAATACGAACTATCGACAGTATTCACCAGATTTCATTTGCCTTTACTCTTGTTAGAAAATAACCCCAATAAATATACATGTAGATTTATTATAATTCATCGTAGGAAAAGCGATCCCAGATCTTAGTTTTGGCAATTCATTCCTTATTGACTTAAAATCAGGATGTGAATATGTTTACAGTTTCAGTGGATATTCGAATGTCAAAGATCACGGAAATTACGCAGAGGTAATTATTTAAATAAATGTGCGATATTCAAACTACATTTCTACGTATGAACTATAAAAGTGTGTGTCTTGAGACATCAGAGTAGTTGACCTAATAAACAGGATAAAGAAATTATTTATGCAATACCACCTTTTGAAAAATACGTAAGTACCACATTTCCAAAGTTATCCAGTTTTTTTGTGTGTGTACCTTTTCTATTGTCCTTTCATACATGGTGATTTACATGTATCAATTTTAAAGTTTTCAGTCTCTCTTAACAGAGAGTATAAAAATTCTAATGTACGGAACAATCGAATTATCTTGAACACAATCATTATACAAAAACATACCTAATTTAGATTTTTTTCATTGTTTTTTATGA